TTTAAGAGAGCCTTGCTCTGTTGCCCAGGCTGAAGGGCACTTAAGTCACAGACAGGATCATAGGGCATTACAACCTCAAATTCCTGAGCCCAAGCTATCATCCTGCCTCAGCCTCTCAAGTAGTGGGGACCACAGATGTGCACCATTGTCAGCTACTGCATCCCTTTATTTTGCATCTGTCTGTGTCTTTATACATAAAATGGGTCTCCTGTAGGCAGTATGTATTGGGGGAGCTTGATTTTTTTTTTCCCTTTTTTTTTTTTCCTATTTCCTATATAATTTCACAAGGGTCTTGTGTTTTTACCCAGCTGACAATCTGTCTTTTCATTGGTGCATGTGGATCATTCACATTTAGAGTGATTATTGATATATTTGGATTAATATCCTCCATCTAGGCCAGGCACAGTGACTCATAACTGTAATCTCATCACTTTGGAAGGCTGAAGAAGGCTGATCACTTGAGCCCAGGAGTTTGAGACCAGCCTGGGAAACAGTGAGATTCTGTCTCTACAAAAAAAAACACTAAAAATTAGCCAGACATGGTGATGCATTCCTGTAGTCCCTATTTGGGAGGCTTTGGTGGGAGGATTGCTTGAGTCCAGGAGGTTGAGGCTGCAGTGAGCTATGATCATGCTGCTGCACTCCATCCTGGGCCACAGAGCGAGACCCTGTTTCAAAAAAATAAATAAAATAATAATTCAAAGCTATTCATACCAGCTAAAATTTATACTTAAGCAAAAGATTTGTTTATCTTTTTGCAAAGGTCAGGACTTGTTTACCTTTTTACAAAACTTTTTTAAAGAAGGTTCCTTTTACCCTTTTTATTTTTAGTCAGTCTCTTTGCTATTATCTTTTGATATGCTCTAATATACTCTGACCTATCTTATAAACTTAATATATAGTCTATGTGTAAATTCTATATATACTATAGGAAATTGTGTTTATGTATATGAGTGGGTAGGTGGGTGAGTGTGTATATATAAATAGTATAGGAAATCCGAAGAGCTGGTTTTGGGTGGGCAGACAAAACCTAGAAGGGATTCTCACTGTACTCAGAAAGAAATCCCAACATGGAGCAGGGTCATCCTACCTCCCTCTTAAGGCTCTTGGGCCATGCTGGTTGTCCATGGGCTTGATAGCAGTTCCCAAGAGTTTGTTCCCCCTAGGGCTTTCCATATGCCAGAAAATTTCTCTTTGCTGAGAAAACTAAAATTTATTTGGCTGCTGTCTTCTCAGCCTTGAGTCTGCTCTTTTTTGTTTTTTTTTTTTTGAGATGGAGTTTCACTCTTGTCACCTAGGCTGGAGTATGGTGGCACAGTGTCAGCTCACTGCAACTTTCTGCCTCCCAAGTTCAAGTGATTCATCTGCCTCAGCCTCCCAAGTAGCTGGGATTACAGACATGCGCCACCATACCTGGCTAATTTTGTATTTTTTTTTGTTTGGTAGAGACAGGGTTTCATCATGTTGGACAGGCTGGTCTCAAACTCCTGACCTCAGCTGATCCGCCCTCCTCAGCCTCCCAAAGTGCTGGGATTACAGGCGTAAGCCACCATGCCACCCAGCCCAAATCTTGTCTTAAACGTCACCTTGTCACAGAGACTTTCCCTGACCTCTCTTTCTAAAGTTAAGTACTTTTGTTGTTCAGGGTTACCCCAACCTGATCTTTTCCCTCATAACTTGTACCATAGATTGAAATTGTTTACTGACTGGTTTGTTTCCTTGTTTATTGCCAGTCTCTTCCACTGAACTAAAAGCTTCATGAGGGCAGGAGCCATCTTCATATGCCACTGTCTAGCACACTGCCTGACAAAGTAGACCCTCAGTAAATATTTGAGGAATGAATGAAAGAGTGAGTAAGCCATGGTAAAATGTCTTGACTTTTTCAACGGGAGCAATTTGATAAGATGAAAAGGTTAAGACAAGGCTGAATGAGGAAAGGAATATGTCAGAGTTTAGAGGGAAGAAATACTTTACCAAGGTCCTGTCATGTTCTGGGCAGTGTACCAAGCAGTTTCACACTCGTATCATTTCACTTTCCAAATCATCTTTTTCATAGATATATAAATGGACCTCAAGGGCTTATGTAACTGCTTCAAGTTGACACAGCTGGGAAGTAGTAAAGCAAGCATTCTGTTCATGTCTGTAGCCACCAAGCCCTGTCTCAGGTGTTTACAGTGAAAGAGGTGGCAAGATGAAGATAGGGGTGGACCTTAGCTTAGTAAAGTCAGTTCTGCCATAATGTGACATGTGTGTTCCTGAAAATTCCCACTCTTTGCCAAGACTGGAGAGACTGCCTCATCTAAAGGGGTAGCCAACCCACACCCAGCTCCAGCCACCTGGCACCATGGGGAGAACTTGAGCCCAGGATGACGTGAGCTTCCAGTTTGTCAAGAGAACTATAAATCTGATTGTTATGGGAAATACTCAGTTTTTGGATGTTAGCAACTAGTTTTTTTTAAAAAATTTAGGAGGCTGAGCGCAGTGGCTCACACCTGTAATCCCAGCACTTTGGAGGCAGAGGTAGGTGAATCACTTGAGCTCAGGAGTTCAAGATCAGCCTGGGCAACATAGTGAGATGTCATCTCTACAAAAAATGCAAATATTAGTTGGGTATGGTGACACGAGATTGTAGTCAAAGTTACTTGGGAGATTGAAGTGAGGATCACTTGAGGCTGGGAGGTGGAGGTTGTAAAGAGATAACATCGTGCTACTGCACTCCAGCCTGGGTGACAGAGCAAAGACCTGATCTCAAGGAAAAAAAAATTTTTTTTTGGATAGTCAAGTTATCCAGTGGCTGGTTTTCGCCTTCAGGCCATTTGTTGGCAGGCTCTTCTTTACAACAGAGATGTTAAGCTGGCTGGAACAGAGTGGGTAACATGGGGGAGAATGGTGGTGTGTCAGATCATTCCATAGTCCTTTGGGATTAGAACTAGAGAGGACCTTAGCTTAGTAAAGTTAATACTGCTATAATGTGACGTGTGTTCCTGAAAATTCCCACACTTTGCCAGGATTGTGTAGTGAAAACCATAGGACTTTTGGGGAAAAATGAGATTAGTGGCACAATACTCAAAAACTTTGCCAGTAACACATTAAAAAACAGATAGTGAATCTAATAAAACCTGCAAGTGGTTAAATACATAGTGACTAATAAATACGGCACTTTACCTTGAAAAAACCCTGCAGTTTCTTTGTGGAGGTAGGTATAGGGAGGATTGCATCTCATGAGTTACTGTGAATTGTGGACCCAGGGTGACCTGAAATCACCAGATGGATTAAATGTGATTCATACTATGTGTACTGAGTATTCCTGCATGGATCACTTCAGCTAAATGTTGTTTTCTGTTTACCTAGTGTTACTCATGGAAGAAACCACACATAAACACAAAATCTGCATTATATGCAAATTATTCACTAACATACCAATCTTGCTCAATAAATTCACCTTTTCACAACAAGCATAGCAGCTCTGACTGTATAGGTAGGCTATTGGGGGCCTTAAAAATCACAGAAAACACGACATTACTCCCTTTTCCCCAAGTTGTTATAGTTTACACTCAGGAAGTTAAGAACTTTTTTTTTTTAAAGACAGAGTATTGCTCTCTTGCCAGGCTGGAGTGTGTAGTGGCACAATCTTGGCTCACTGCAACCTCTGCCTCATGGGTTCAAGCAATTCTCCTGCCTCAGCCTCGCAGTAGCTGGGACTACAGGCATGTGCCACCATGCCCAGCTAATTTTTGTATTTTTAGTAGAGACAAGGGTTTCATCATGTTGGCCAGGATGGTCTGAATCTCTTGACCTCGTGATCCGCCCACCTCAGCCTCCCAAAGTACTGGGGTTACAGGCCTGAGCCACAGTGCTCGGCCTGGAAGTTAAGAACTTTTGTTGCAAGTAAAGAAATTAAATACAATTTGCTTCTTGTATTCGTTTCCCAGGCGGTCACAATAAATTACCACAAACTTGGTGGCTTAACACAATAGAAACTCATTTTTCCCAACCTTCTGGTGGCCAGAAGTCTGAAATCAAGGTATTGGCAGGGCCATGCTCTCTCAAGATTCTAGGAGAGTGTCCTTCCTTGCCTCTTCCTAGCTTCTGGTGGGTCCCAGCAGTCCTTGGTATTCCTTGTTTGCTTGTAGCTGCATCGCTCCAATCTCTGCCTCCATGGCCACATGGACTTGCCATACCTCAACCGTAGTGACTGGAGAAGAGCATAAAAGGAAATTACATGCTAGTTACCTGTGTGTGCTCAGGCACAGCACGGAGTCATCTCTGAACACACAAGGGCAGAGGAATTACTAGTGTTGCCTTGGTTTCAGTTGGTAATTGAAGACCCTGTCAATCACATAACTATTTCATTTCTTAACAGGGAAAACAGTTTAGGAAGGAAGTAAGAATTGATAGACATGAGCCGGTATTGGTGGCTCATGACTAATCGCAGCACTTTGGGAGGCCAAAGCAGAAGGATCGCTTGAGCCCAGGAATTTGAGGCCAGCCTGGGTAACAAAATGAGACTCAATCTTTACAAAGAAAATAAGTCCATGTGGCCATGGAGGCAGAGATTGGAGTGATGACCAGTCACTGAATTAGGACCCACCCTAATGTAGTATGACCTCATCTTATCCTGATTACATTTGCAAAGGCCGTCCTTCCAAGTAAGATCATATTAATAGATACTGGGAATTCTGGCTGCAATATATCTTTTCATGGGGTACAGTTCTATACACAGTACCTCTCCTCCACAGCTGACTTAAATTTTAATGAGCTTGGATATATCCTTGCAGTGTTTCCTCTAGGTCATTAAATAGGAATCTATCTGTTAGTGTTTGTTAACAAGGTCTTGTCTGATGGTCACCTTTGTGTTCCAGTAGGGTATTCGGGATATTTTTTTTTCTGCCTGCATTTTAAGATTTTTCATGGAAATGATCTCTCTAAATGAAGGATACAAATGTCTTAGGAGGGTGAAGATTAAGAAACACAAAAATTGGCCAGGTGCGGTGGCTCACGCCTGTAATGCCAGTACTTTGGGAAGCTGAGGTAGGCGGATCATGAGGTCAGGAGATCGAGACCATCCCGGCCAACATGGTGAAACCCCATCTCTACTAAAAATACAAAAAAATTAGCTGGGCGTGGTAGCACATGCCTATAATCCTAGCTACTCGAGAGGCTGAGGCAGGAGAATCACTTGAACCAGGGAGTTGGAGGCTGCAGTGAGCCGAGAATGTGCCACTGCACTCCGGCCTGGATGACGGAGAGAGACTCTGTCTCAAAGAAAAAAAAAGAGAAGATAAAAAACCCAAAAATTATTACTAATTCATTGAATTTTTATGAGTGTGAGTCTTTGAGAAAAAAAGAAAATAATAATCTAGCCGGGTGCATTAGTTCTCACGTATAATCCCAATACTTTGGGAGACAGAGCACAAGGATCACTTGAGCCCAGATGTCTAAGACCAGCTTAGGCAACATAGTGAGACTGCATCTCTACAGAACAACAACAACAAAAATTGCCAGGCATGATAGTGCTTACCTGTAGTCCCAGCTACCCTAGAGGCTGAGATGGGAAGATGGCTTGAGCCCGGGAGGTCAAGGCTGCAGTGAGCCAGGATCGTGCCACTGCACTTCAACGTGGGTAACAGAACAACACCCTCTCCCAAAAAAAACAATATTCTGAGCCTTTGGAGTATTTTATATACAGCTACTAAGAGCTGCTGTGCCTGTCTGGAACCAGTCACTTCTGCCTCCCAACATCATACCCTGGCCCCATACCTGCCATACCTCAACCGTAGTGACTGGAGAAGAGCATAAAAGGAAATTACATGCTAGTTACCTGTGTGTGCTCAGGCACAGCACGGAGTCATCTCTGAACACACAAGGGCAGAGGAATTACTAGTGTTGCCTTGGTTTCAGTTGGTAATTGAAGACCCTGTCAATCACATAACTATTTCATTTCTTAACAGGGAAAACAGTTTAGGAAGGAAGTAAGAATTGATAGACATGAGCCGGTATTGGTGGCTCATGACTAATCGCAGCACTTTGGGAGGCCAAAGCAGAAGGATCGCTTGAGCCCAGGAATTTGAGGCCAGCCTGGGTAACAAAATGAGACTCAATCTTTACAAAGAAAATTTCTAAAACAATTAGCTGGATGTGGTGGCACGTGCCTGTGGTCCCACCTACACAGAAGGCTGAGGCAAAAGGATTGCTTGGGCCCAGGAGGTTGATACTGCAGTGAGTCATTTTCATCCCACTGCACTCCAGTATGAGTGACAAAGCAAGACTCCATCTCAAAAAAAAAAAAAAAAAGAAAATTTCTAAAACAATTAGCTGGATGTGGTGGCACGTGCCTGTGGTCCCACCTACACAGAAGGCTGAGGCAAAAGGATTGCTTGGGCCCAGGAGGTTGATACTGCAGTGAGTCATTTTCATCCCACTGCACTCCAGTATGAGTGACAAAGCAAGACTCTGTCTCAAAAAAAAAAAATTGATAGACATTTGACTCACAGAGCTCAAGGTTATAAGGGCTTCCAAAGGCCAACTTGTTTATCTAGGCAAGAACCCCTTCTGTGGCAGCTGAGACTGTGTCAACTAGCTCGTGTCTGCAGTCTTTCAGTTGAGCCTTGGGTAGGAAAGTTTTTTTAAAGATAATTCTTTTCACAAGGTTTTCTGTCTCATGTTTTATGTGTCTGGGGGACTCCAGGCATGCCACAGGTTGTAACAATGAAAAGTTCTTCCTTTTATTTCCTCCAAATCTGTTCTTGAGCCTTAAAGATCTTTTGCCTCTTCAGTTGGAAATGATGATATACTGGGGTTTGTCCCACAATCAGCTGAGAATTCAATCTTGTATCTGTCGTCCTATTGTGCTGTCCTCTCTGGTCTTGCACTCAGCTGTGTCCTGTAGCTTTGCCACATTTTTGCATAGTTTCCTCTTGTGTTTCATTCAAGTCTTTGCTCAGTGTCGCTCACTCGGAGAGGTCTTTCGTCCTAAAGATGCATCCCAGCCTTCTTCCCAATGTCATGCTTTCTCTGTTTATTCTGCTTTTTGTTTTCTCCAGGGCATTTACACTGATTGATATTCTTTATTCATATCCAGTGTTCACAATCTATTTCCCCCACTAGAAGTTTAGTTTCATGAGGGTGGGACCTTTTTTTTGTTCACGTCCCTATTCCTAGTACCTAGAACAGTGCTTGACTCATAGTGGGTGCTCAATAAACGTTTAAGTGATTGAATCTTTTCTTGCCTGTGTCATTTTATTTTGAGCCAGTCAACACTGTCTTGCTTTCCATATTGCAATCAGCAAAACCGTTGTGTTAGACTATATGAGTTTGTTGTCTCAACCTTAGAGTTCCATTTCTTTTTTTTTTTTTTTTTTTTTTTGAGATGGAGTTTCCCTCTTGTTGCTCAGGCTGGAGTGCAGTGGCGAGATATGGGCTCACTGCCACCTCCACCTCCCGGGTTTAAGCGATTGTCCTGCCTCAGCCTCCCTAGTAGCTGGGACTATAGGCAACCACCACTATGCCCAGCTAATTTTTGTATTTTTAGTAAAGTCGGGGTTTTACCATGTTGACCACTCTGGTTTTGAACTCATGACCTCAGATGATCCTCCCACCTCAGCCTCACAGAGTGCTGGGATTACAGGCGTAAGCCACCATGCCTGGTCAGAGTTCCATTTCAAAAGTCTGTCAAGAGGTGGTACAGATGCTAGATCTGCCCATAAATGTGCTGTGCTGTGCTGTAGGAAACTGAGTTCCAGCCAGCAACATAGCACATTTCCCCTCACCCAGCACAGCAGCAGCAGCAGCAGATCAAGGGTCTGCTGGTTTCTTGAGGGAGAGGTGGCAGTGCTGCAAGCCAGGAACACCTGGCGTAGGAGAGAGGCAGGATGGGGATTAGAACAACTTCAAAGAACTTCATGAACAAGAATAAGAGAGTCGTTCTTGTCATAGCAACTATTATTTGTGGTGACTGATGAAATTAGACAAGGACTATGTGAAGAGCAAGGCTTTTGAAGAGTGAGAACTCCCAGAGGAATAAGGGTCAAGACTTCTCCAGACTCAGTGCCCACTGCCTTCAGTGCATCCTATAATCTTTTATTGTCTTCTTTCCACGTGCTGGCCCTTGTGCTGGGCCTGGGGATGTAGCAGTGAATCAGATGTAGTCGCTATTCTTAAAGATCTCAGAGTCAGAAAGTGGGAGTGAAGGAGGTGGGTGGTCAGTCAATGGTGAGTTGAGTGTGTTTCAACAAGGGTCTCCCTGTAATTCTCTCAAGGCAATATTATTTACAGGACCTTTTCGAAAGAGGCCGTCTTTGAAGCAGTCATTCCCAGGTTTTTGGATTTTGCAGATCAGTAGCATTTCAAAAGAACAAGGATTGCCTACATTTTTTATTAAGTGAATACAAGGACTTTTCAAAAAGTTAAACCTATCATCTATTACTTATTATTGCCTTTATTTCATAAAAGAAAAGGCATTTTAATTCTGCAAACAGTAGAAAAGATATAGTCCTAGACTAAAATTAGCTTTATAAAAATTTGTTTCTGAAAAGCTCACTATTATGTTTTATTTTTCTCAGTTCACCATGAACTGATGAAACCGCATGTTAGACAGCATTAATTCAAGGGCTGGTGTTTGGCAGTCACCACTTTGAGCATCACCTGCAAATGCATGGGTCTTGTGACACTCCATGAGAGCAGCCTCCATGTTGTGTCTTATAGATTGTCACAGACCAGCAGACAGGACAGAAGATCCAGATAGTCACCGCAGTGGACGCCTCTGGATCCCCCAAACAGCAGTTCATCCTGACCAGCCCAGATGGAGCTGGAACTGGGAAGGTGATCCTGGCTTCCCCAGAGACATCCAGTGCCAAGCAACTCATATTCACCACCTCAGACAACCTCGTCCCTGGCAGGATCCAGGTAAGGCCTTTGAACAGGTATTTGTTTCAGCATTTATGCTGTTGAACTTGTTCTTACATCTGCTGTGGAGGCCAAATCTATCCGTGGAAAGTTCTGTGGGGACCTGCAAACATGGCAAATTGCCGGTTTGGCCAGAGTAATAAACCAGCAAACCAGTGGCAAGGCCCAGAAGACAGTGAACTGTAAGACTCAGGATGGAAGTACAACCAGGAAGTCAGTGGCCACAGGAGACTAGCTTGAGAAAGCTGGCACTGAGGCCACTGGAGAATTTTTCTTACCTAAGGCCATCAAGTGGCAGCCCTTGATATTTTAAAGGCACCACCTAGGGCTAACTACAGCCAGCAAAGAACTGACTTGTCCAGATCATCAGGTCTGTGGCGCCAGCTTTTCATTCTGTCTTTATGTGCCACTGTGTACTAATCGCTCTGGGACCCTGAATTCTTATCTCTATCTCTGCCCTGGTTCTTCCTGCTCTGGCAAAGTAGGATGGGGTTGAGGACGTCTATATCAAGGAAAACAACAAGCGTTGAAGGAAAGCAGGGTTGTTTCTCAGCATGAGGCTGGGAAGCATAGAATCTCCATACCCAACACCTAGAGAACAGAGACTCAAGGTTAGTATCCCATGATGGCCAAACACGGAACATGCTTTGTCAGGGTTGTGTTTAATTTTTTTTTCATTTTTCATAAAATATGCATAACATAAAACTTAACCATCTTAACCAACTTTAGGTGTACAGTTCAGTGACATTAAGTAGATTTACATTGTTGTGCCACTATCCAGCTCTGTAACTCTTTTCATCTTCCTAAGCTGAAACTCTGTACTCATTGAACAGTACCTCTCCCCCTCCTCCAGCCCCTGGTAACCACCATTCTGCTTTCTGCCTTCATGAATTTGACTACTCTGGGTACCTCATATAAGCGAAATCAGCCTTTTTATGACTGGTTTGTTTCACCCAGCATAAAAGTGAAGCTTTATCCATGTTGTAGCATGTGTCAGAATTTCATCCCTTTTAAAGGCTGAGTAATATTCCACTGTATATATAGATCATATTTTTTTGTATCTCTTCATCTGTTGGTGGACATATAAGTTGCTTCCACATTTTGGCTATTGAATTAATTAATGCCACTAAGAATCTCTGTTTTGGGTGGGGATGTTCTATGAAGAAACTTAAGGAAGGGAAGAATTTTTTAATATGTTCAGCTTTTAGATCTGTTCTTTTAGACACCTTAAACTGCACTTAGTAAATACTGTCTCATCCTTCCTTTCCCGGAGTACATTGTGATCATCTGAAATCAGAATTCCTTCCTCCTTCTTTAGAGTACTCCTTGTCTGTGAAAGAATGGCTGTTGATTTTGTTGCATGTTTCACAAGAGGTGATTCTACATAATGGTTTCTGTATGTGTACCTACCATGTATAAATAATTTTAAGGCTTATTGTTGGCTCAAATTCAAGTACATTTTAAAATAATAGCTATTTTCACTTTCTCATACTGATATCAGTTATAATATTCTCCCAGATGAATTGCTTCACCTAGAAAATCACCACAAATGAGGGAAAGGAAGATAGCCGGTTTCAAAGCTCATTTGTTCTCATTCAGCTCACCACCACCTGCCTCAATAGGAGTCCTAGTTATTTAATTAATAAAGTTTGGTTATTTCTTTGTCAATACACCTCTTTGCATACATTCAAGTTGTTTTATGGGAAGAATCTTAAATATCTTTATTTTGAAGCACCTGTGTGTAATTCCCCACACGGCCTGCAATTTTGGGTGGCTGTAGTAGCCAGATAGAAGAGTAGATCAGTGGAGACCAGCGCCTGACCCTGGGAAACCACCCACCTGATAATCAGTACGGATGAGTGGCAGAGCCATTCTGGGTGTCAGATTAAGTTGTCATCTGGAGTTTTCCCAGTTCTGTCCAGAGTTCTCCTATTTAGAAACCCAACATTGAGAATTTATAGTTAAACATCACTTTGCTTAGTGATCTGGTTTTTTTGTTTTTTTTGTTTTTTGAGACGAGGTCTCACTGTGGCTCAAGCTGGAGTACAGTGGCACAATCTTGGCTCACTACAACCTCTACCTCCCAGGTTCAAGTGGTTCTCCTGCCTCAGCCTCAAATAGCTGGGATTACAGGCGCATGCCACCACACCCAGCTAATTTTGTATTTTTAGTGGAGACAGTGTTTTACCATGTTAGCCAGGCTGGTCTCGAACTCCCAACCTCAGGTGATCCATCCGCCTCAGCCTCCCAAAGTGCTGCGATTACAGGCATGAGCCACCACACCTGGCAGTGATCTGGTTTTTAATTGGCATCTCTGTTTATTTCCTGGTTTCTCTCAGATTGTCACGGATTCTGCCTCTGTGGAGCGTTTACTGGGGAAGACGGACGTCCAGCGGCCCCAGGTGGTAGAATACTGTGTGGTCTGTGGTGACAAAGCCTCCGGTATGTAATTACAGGTTATAATGGCACTTAACATGGGCCAACAGCATGAAGTAACAGTTGTGAGGTGGGGTGGTAGTTAATTTAGAAAGATCATTTTCTGTAGGTTTCTAGGTTTCAAATACGAATTCCACTCTTCCTACTGGGGTAGTGATGTAAATAAATAAGGCAGTTTGTCAGGTAATTAGACATCAAAAGGAAAAGTCAAGAAACAATTTCTATGATTTGTAAATCTTGGTTGAGTGTGTAGTATGTATGTGCTGCTAAAAATGTATTCTTTAATCTCATTAACATTTGTACAGCACTTTGCTATTTTACAAGATATATAATTTGTATAATCCCCGTTCATCCTAACTGTAACTATCTCTGTCATCCCCTCACTATAACCCACTATAAATACTGCTGTAATGAAGCAGGAGGAGGCATGTGATTCCAGCTAGAATCCCAGGATCAGGAAAGGCTCCACAGAGGCAGTCACATCTGGGAGACTTAGTGATTATGTACACAGTGATTGAAGCAGGAGGAGGGCATTTCAGCTAGTAGAAACAGGGCCTAGAGTTTAAGGTCTATACCCATGGTGTCCTTGGGAGAGAGCTTGTGGGGTTCTGTGATTACAATTGGGTAAAGTGAGACTGAAGAAGATACCTGGCCCAAAAATTCAAGTGTTGGTCTGCTTGTACTAGGTGGGGATCCATAGAAGGTTAGTGAGGCAGACAGGAAGGAATGGAGAAGTATTTGATAAGAACACAGTACCAGGGCACAGGTGTGTGTTCTAAGATGGCTGCTTGGTTCCACTTTATTCTCTGGTCACAAAATTCACAGGAATGTTGGACACTTCGTAGTCCTAGTTTTTTGTTTGTTTCTGTTTTGTTTTTTAAAAAGGAGGTTGGACCAAGCCTCTTAGTAAGACAGTCCCAGGCAAGCATCTATAGAAGATCAGAAGCTTCAATTTCCCTTCTGTGGTGGTGACACCATTTCTCTGCCAGTGGTGCCTGCCTCTGCTCCCACCCTTTGTCTTGGTAAACCCAGCCCATCCTACCCCTTCTCTGAAGCCCTCACCTACCCCAGTAGGTAGATAGACAGTGCAGCCACTGATTCAGATTTCCGCTTCCTAGAGATTTCTCTAATCGCTTGTTGCATACTCCTATAATTCACTCTTTAGAGGCCTGTCTTCCCCATCAGAATGTCAGAGCAAAAATCATGTCTTACCATGTATTCCTGTCTTCTTGCTCAGCAAGGAAAGGCACTCTGCAAAGTTTTGAACAAATAAATGAAGCATGAACATAACAAAAGGGCCACAGAATCTGCTTGACTTCCCCATTTGTCAGTCTTCTTCTTAGCTTAAAGGAAAGGCCTAGTCACAGGGTCTTGGTGCCAGTCTCCTGATATTAATGTCACTCAAAGGGATAGAGAACTCAAGGAAATACACTGCAAAGAAAGGAAAAACAATATTACAGAAGGCACTTTACCACAACTATTCTTAAAAGAATAAGACTGTTATTCCAATTGCACACTTGGAAAATGGTTTTGCACACTTGGAAAATGGTTTTGCATACTAGAGCTTAGAACAATGGGATTCTCTGTAGCCACCATAAATGGTAATCCTGTGAAATGTATCCTTCTTGGCAATGTAGCTATGAAATTGGATTATACAAACAAGACAGAATCAAAAGAGCATGTCCGTGGTCAGTCTCAGCTGGAAACAAATGAGGAATAATGTATGTGAAAGTGCTTTCTGAATAGCAAAACTAAACTGAAGGAGGGGGCACTTTTTTTGTTGTTTGTTTGAGACAAGAGTCTCACTCTGTCACCCAGGCTGGAGTGCAATGACACAATCTCAACTTACTGCAGCCTTCACCTCCTGGGTTCAAGTGATTCTCCTGCCTTAGCCTCCGGAGTAGCTAGGACTACAGGCGCCCATCACCATGCCTGGCTAATTTTTGTAGTTTTAGTAGAGACAGGGTTTCACCATATTGGCCAGGCTGGTCTCAAACTCCTGACCTTGTGATCTGCCTACCTCGGCCTCCCAGAGTGCTGGGATTATAGGCATGAACCACTGCACCCAGCTGGGGGTACTTTCTAATGTCTGTGATAGTTAAAAGTTGGAGATACCATGCAGACTGTACACATGACAAGGGGTTAATATCCAGAATATATAAGGAACTTAACAGCAAAAACAAACAAAAACAATTTTAAAATGGGCAAAATATCTTAATAGACATTTCTCAAAAGAAGACATAGAAATGGTCAACTGTTATATGAAAAAATGCTCAACATCACTAATCCTCAAGGAAATGCAAATTGGAGTGAGGTACCACCTCACTCCAATTAGGATATCTATAATCAGGCTGGGTTTGGTGGCTCATGCCTATAATCCCAGAACTTTGGCAGGCCGAGGCGGGCAGATCACATGAGGCCAGGAGTTTGAGACCAGCCTGGACAATGTGGCAAAACCCCGTCTCTACTAATTTTTGTATTTTTATAAGATAATATCTTTTGGCAGGGTGCAGTGGCTCATGTCTGTAATCCCAGCACTTTGGGAGGCTAAGGCAGGCAATCACCTGAGGTCAGGAGTTTGACACCAGTCTGGCCAACATCTCTACTAAAAATACGAAAATTAGCTGAGTATAGTGGTGGGTGCCTGTAGTGGCAGGAGAATCACTTGAACTCGGGAGGCGGAGGTTGCAGTAAGCTGAGATTGCACCACTGCACTCCAGCCTGGGCAACAAGAGCAAGACTCTGTCTTAAAAAATAAATTTTTAAAAAGATATATATATGTTATCAGATTTTATATTTTATAAACTCTTATAAAAATTTCATGTAGAGAAATTATGTGAAGGGTGTGGCCAGTATAAGAAAGAAAGTATAAGATTTTATTTGATAAAATCATATAAAAATACAAAAATTAGCTGAGTGTGGTGGCGCACATCTATAATCCCAGCTACTCAGGACGCTGAGGCACGACAGTCACTTGAACCCAGGAGGTAGAGGTTGCAGCAAGCCGAGATCACGTCACTGCGGTCCAGTCTGAGTGACTGAGACTCTTGTCTCAAAATAAAAAAAGAAAAAATGTTTACAATTAAAAAGACAAATGAAAAGAAGTGCTAGGGAGGATGTGGAGAAAGGGGAACACTTAAACATTGTCGGTGGGATTGTAAATTAGTACAGCCACTATAGAAAACTGTATGGAGGTTCTTCAAAAATTAAAAATAGAACTACCATATGATCCAGAAATTCACTACTGGATCTATATCCAAAGGAAATAAAATCATTATGTTGAAAAAATACCTGCACTCCCACATTTATTGAATCACTATTTACAATGGCCGAGATGTGTAATCAGCCTAAGTATCCAACAGCAGATGAATGAATAAAGAACATGTGGTATGTATACACAGTGGAATACATAAAATTGAATGAAATCCGGCTATTTCTGGCAACATGGATGAACGTGGAGGAGGACATCATGTTAAGTGAAATAAGCCAGACAAAGACAGATACTACATGATCTCATTCATATGTGGAATCCTTAAAAAAAAAAAAAAAAATTAATACCATAGGAACAGCGTAGAACAATGGTTACCCAGACTGGGGAGGGGAAAAGTGAGAGATGGTTGGGAAAGACTGACCAGCTGCTACAAACTTACAGTTAAGTAGTAGGAACAAGTTCTGGTGTTCCATTGCACTGTAGCCATGGCTAACAATAAGGTATTATGTATCATAAAATACCTAGAAGAAAGGCTTTTGAATGTCCTTACTGCAAAGAAATGATAAATGCATAAGGTGATGGTCACTCTACCTGATTTGATCATTATACAACATGTGGATGTATTGAAACATTGAATTATACCTCATAAATATGAACAATTACAGTGTATCAAAAATAAAAAATTACAGACACCAAAGTAAACAAGATTAGAAAAATGAACTGTGTTTAATAAATGTATTCCTAGAACTGTATTTCTAGAAAGCTCTGAGTAAGCTAGCCCAGGTGAGCCATACGGTAACCCTCCTTTACTGTGGGCTTCAGCAGTCACAGTCCCCATGCTTTTTCTTGTGCCTATCCCGCTTCCCTGCAGGAGGTTTAGGAACCAGGATGTGAATCAGAGGGGCTAAATGCAGGAGTGAGACCCTCTGTACCAAAGCCACACATGCACATGTCTGCTATGTGCCACTCTTGGCAGGACAGGAGACCTAAGCCGCTTCACAAGCCCAGACCTCCAGGATTAGGACCCAGGTGTGTTCAAGTGGACAGTAGAGTTCAGCTATCACCTGTGAGCTCCTACTGTATGTTGGACCATTTGTATAATAAGAGCACTAAAGTCATGCCATCTGCCAGATGCCATACAACCTGTCTGAGCAGTATTTCCATCATAAAGTCACAAGGCTACTTGAAAGATTGTAGAGAAATTATGTGAAGGGTGTGGCCAGTATGCTAAATGCTCAGGTCACATGGCACCTAACAGTATATGCACCCATCACTTTCATAAGACTTGTTCAGGAAGTGTGGCAGATCACCCCTTTGGTGAATGCACAAATATAGTCACAAAATATTTGTGTCTTTCTCCTGTTTCAGGCCGTCACTATGGGGCTGTCAGCTGTGAAGGTTGCAAAGGTTTCTTCAAAAGGAGTGTGAGGAAAAATCTGACCTACAGCTGCCGGAGCAACCAAGACTGCATCATCAATAAACATCATCGGAACCGCTGTCAGTTTTGCCGGCTGAAAAAATGCTTAGAGATGGGCATGAAAATGGAATGTGAGTAACAGTATTTAAAAACCACATGAGTTAACAACGGAGGGAGAGAGTAAACAAGAGTCCATTAAATACAGTTTCTATATCTGGCTTTAAGGTACTTTGAGAAAAAAATACCCGTCAGACTTTATTTTGGTTTACCTCGTGGGTCAACTAGGTGATTCAGAGCCAACGCTGTGGGGGTTGGTCTGTTCTCCTGGTGTGTGTGTGGAAAGCCTTATTCCAGATGCATCAGGAGGCAGCTTAGTGGAGTAGGGTGAACACAGGCTTTGGAGGAAAGCTGATACCAACACTACCAGGTCTGCCAATAAGAGACAGCTATGAATTTGAGGACACACATAGCCTCTCAGCCACAGGGTCCTCATCTGTGATCTAGAGCCCCTCACCTTACTTATATATTGCTCCTGAGGATTACATGAGCCTACTGTTACTTACTGTCTTCTAAGCCCCTCTATGTTCTTTCAGCACAAGGCCTTCTGCCAAGTCTCTGTGTAGCTGGGGTTCTAAAGAGAAAGCTATTGCATCTGGATGTGTGGGGCAACCAGGGAAGGTCTCGGGCCCCTCCTTTCCATTCCTGTAGCCAGAATTTTGGGGGTTAGGAATTTCAAAACCAGATCCCTGTCTACAGGGTCCATTCAGATGGAGGTCACTTCCCTAGCTAGTGGTGAAAATATGAAGACCAGCATCCAGGATGGGCAGCACATAGAAATCCAAGGAGAGTGGAGTTAGGCTCAAACCACAGTAGGAAAATGGAGCTTAGCAAAGGCAAGGCATGCAACTTAGCCTGGCAAGGCTGGTGGCCATGGACTCAGAACTACAGGCTTCTGCTGAGTATGCTGCATGATTCTGTCATCTTCTGCATAGTTCCCTAGGAACACTGAAAACTGATAGATTTCAGTATTGGTGAGGGCATTTCTGGGAATAGGAATCTGCAGAATTCACTGGAGAATAAATGGAAATGTACTTTTTGAAAAATTAGAAATATCAACCTAATTTCTGCCTGGTGTGATGCTTTTACTTTATCTAGTGATATTGTTCTTCCCCTAAAGTGAATAAATAAATCATTGGCTTTTTTACTCAGAGCAATGACTGAAATCAGTTTTTTTGTGATCACAGCTATAGCTGCAAACACAAGATCCAACTAGATAGCAGTTTGATTAGCAGCATATCTAAATGCTATTCCCTGGCCTTCGTTGCTTCTGTCTTTAAAAAGCTTTCATTTTCTTCAGTTGCTTCTAAGATGCGTAGATCTGCTCTTATACTAGATTGCTAAAAGGAGAGTTTGCTAGCATGATATAAAATTGACACCCATTAAACAGTTTGCAGAAGCTATTCAGACTTGAGTTGGAAATTAGAAGGGTTCCTCTACAAATTGTGCCATAGGAAAAGCACACATTAA